TGCTACAGTTCCCAGGCCAAATCCTGATTCTCACTTCTCTTTCGAAACAAATATATACTACCACTATTAATGAAAGAAAAAATTTCATTTTATGAATAACTGAATATGAAATGTAATCATTTATTAAAAAATGAACTTTTGTAAAAACGCATAAATCAATATTCTGAAAATTTTATGTGCGGTGAAATACAGCATTTAAGTCTCTCCCTTAACCCTTTCAGTCCCAATGGGTTAAGTCCCAGTAGATGTTTAAAGAAACCTAGAGAGAATTAAATGCATTAATTTACTACATAGTTGATATCCCACTGGTAGCAGGCATCATTTTTAACATCCCCATTACAAAATTGTTGTGCGCATCTTCTTATAGAGGCTTAGTGACAGACTGTCAATTTCTGTTAGTGTGATTTGTGTCATTTGTGATAATTACCAAGAAGGCATAAAAAAAAATCAAGTCAGTTGAAACAAATAAATTGGGATTGAAAGGGTTAAACAATTTAAGATGTTTTATAAATTTTCAGTATTTAGTTATTCAGATTTCAACCAGTAAAATCATCTTCTCCAAATGCCATTTGTTAAATGTATTTGAGTCCTCAAAAAAAGTATTTTTCCTTTCATTTAAAGATTTTATATTTTGACAACTTGCACATCCTTGTTTTTGATATTCTGCACTATATCACACTTAAAATTATAAATTTTTGCTCATAAAAACTCACAGATTCATGAGTCTATTTGAATTAATTGTGTTTCTTATATCCAAAACATGTTTAATGTGTTGAAGACGTATATTAATAGAGTTTTATAATATATGTTTAGTGGGAAATATGCACTAATACATAACATGCATTAAAATAATTGAGTCACAGGATCAGTAAGAAACCATGGTTATTACCAAAATAAATAAGGACAATGTGCAACATAATAAAGACTACAGAAGTGAATGAGGACATTATTTAAAATAAATAAGGACTATATACAGCTCCTCACACTCCATCATCACCACTACATAAGAATTAAACATGTTGCAACAATAAAATGAACAAAAAAGAGAGAGTCTGTGCAATCCATTACTCCAAAAAAAGCATATGTTTCGAGTATATACAAGTATTAATACATAGTATGAATCACAACCAACACACTAAAAGTTGTACTAAACTACAGCATACTAAAAAATACTATACTTCAAAGGTAAAGAATTCTTAGGACAAAGAATCGCCACATAGTAGACTCTCTCTCAGAAATATTAATTTTAATTTCGCTACAGATTTCTGGAGTGCATAAATTTAGATATTCTGAAAATTAAACACAAAAGAAAAACATTAAAATTGTCTTAGGAAGTTTGTCACGGTAAGTTCAATAAGTAAATACAAAATTTTCGAGTAAAATGTATATGAAAATTTAAATAAAATACTCTTAAGTGCTTATAAGAAATGTCTTATATAAAAGTTTTCTTCTTACCCAATGGCGGCCCTCAGCGGACTTCGGTTTGGCCACTACTAAGAAGTGATGGTCACTTTATTACGGAGGCACTTAATTATAGGTGGGCCACATTTGCCTCCTATGAAGGACAGTTACAATCCTGCCTTCTCCGAGGTTCCAACCGGGGACCTTTGGTATCGCAGCACAGCGACTCAAACCACTATACCGTCTAAGCGGTCTAAATATAAACGTAAATGTAAGCAATCGTATTTAAAGCGACTACTCAAAATTCCATTCTTTTTAATCTTGAGTGAATGTGGTGAACTTGCGTGATGATTAAAACCAATGTTTATTGTTCTCAAAAACACTGTTCGTCTTAGAGGGAGATGTCACCAAGCAGGTTCACTGCAAGTATACATTATTTCTAAAAAAAAAAAAAAAAAACTGCATGAAGATTTTTGTGATTTTTCTAAAGAATAATGTGCATGTGAACCAGTTCCTGAGAATGTACTCCACAAAGGAATCCCACCCCTTAAGCAGATAGCCGTAGTGTGCTTTGGCATAATCTAATAAATATAAAACCTATTGAAATATTATATAGCTGACTTTCTTCATAACTATAAAATCAGCATTCAAGTAACTGACTGCACGCTGTGCATGAAAATTTTAATGTCATTTTAAGAATAAACTGAAACAAAACAAGAAATAATTTTCTCTATAAGTGTATTAGATTATCAAAATTGAAAAAAATAATCTCAAAATTAACTTAGCAATTTTTTTTAAAAATAAGGTTATGCAGTTACTTACCATCCTTTTTCTAATCTTTTTTAGATAATACTTTTCATCAAAAATTACCAGTAAAAACTTTATAAAAATGACTTATTAATGACCTTTGTTAGTTAACTATTAATATTACTTTGTTACTATATATATTACATTGTTACTACTATATATATTACTTTGTTAGTTTGTTAGTTAAAATTCTATTAAGTGCTATAAGTTGCATTAATTTTCTATGCTTAAGTATATATCGGAAATTCTAAATTCTTACTTTTTCAGCAAAAATTTTTTGTTAATAAAAAATATGAAAGTAAAAATTATCCTTCTTCCCATTTTGCGCTCATAAATCATTATGGGAATATCCATTTACAGTTATTAAAGCCTGAAAAAAGCATGTCTGCGATGTTATCGTCATGCGATGATTTGTAGATACTTTATTTTTTACCACGATATTTTCGACGACGATGTTTTTAAACTGCGAAGTTTTTGAACCGCTTTATTTTCGACGACGATATTTTACGACGACTTTAGAACGCGATGTTTTCTCCCACGATGTTTTCGCCTTGCGTTGTTTTCTCCGCGATGTTATCGGCGGACACCACAACTGAGTTTAAATTAAAAAATTAAAAAAAAAAAAAAAAAAAGTTAATTTATATTTTGACACAATACAGTGTCTCGTATATACTTCCCGTGACTTTGTAAAATCAAAAGGTAATAAAATTAATATTTAATAAATAAAATCATTCTTTCATACAACAAAGGCTTCCTTGTAGATACTACAGTCAAAAGTCGTTAATTCGGACACCCATAATCCGGACCTCAAAGCTACAAATTTTCTGCGCATGCGTCAACGCGTACGACCTTTACCGCTGCGAATTTGCGCGTGCGCAAAATACGTTTACGAATGCGCGTTTAATGTATAACGGACGGGATAAGCTAAGCTAAAATTACCTAATTATCTATTTCAGTTAATGTTGCAGATTGCGTTGTTCCTTAATCTTCGAATTGGATCCGGATTATTATTTTTTGCAGACTGTTAGAGCAATTTTATAAAAGTAAGCTTGAACTTTCGATTATGTCAAATAGAATTTAGAATTTCCGATATATATTTACTAATATGTAATGGATATACAAAGCGAAAGTATCTTTCCGAGTCCATTAAACAAAAAGTGGAATTGCTGCAAAAAATGGATAAAGGCCATATCCTTTGTTTATCTAAACTTTAACGTTTGTTTATCTGCCTGCATTGAATTGGAAGTTGATCTGTCAGCACTATCCTTATCTTAAGGGCAGATGTTTTTATTTTATTTGGCTTATAATTGCTTACTCAATGTAGTATTTCATCTGCTCTTTGATATGATTTAAATCAAATGCCTCATCATTATAATTCATTATAATTTGCTTCCTGCTGAAGAAAGTAACAGAGGTTATTGAAAACAAAAAAATTTCGATTGACAAATTACTTTGTAACTGAACAAGAAATTATGTCTGTTTATAGAATTAAAGAGAATGTATTATAACATAAAAAAGGAAGCAACTTAAACAACTTACATTGAAAGAAATGTTTAATAAAGTAAACAAATAAATATCAAGCTTTTTTTTGTAAATTTTGATACCCTTTAGATCATAATTGCTCATTATTTTATAAATTACGGTTTCATATTTTTAATTTTATAATTTCTGCATGCCATCTTACCAGATTTAAACTGATGATCTATAATCCGGAAAAATCGATAATTCGGAATCACCGAAGTCCCGACGAGTCCGGATTAAAGACTTTTGACTGTATCAGTTTTTTGCATAAGTTATTACTAATACTCAGACAAAGATAAACAAAGGAAAGAGAAAACATTATTAAATTATGCAAGAAATGATGCTAAAAAACTATAAATGATAACTGAAAAAGTCAATCAGTTGGATTTTGAATTATTTTATATTCAACTGCTATTGCACTTAAAAAGACATGGAAATTCCCAACAATATTACTGTTGACTTAGGCAGTTTTATTTAATTTACTAAAGGTGTATAACTTATAAATTGAGAAATAATTCTAACAATTGATTTGCAATACCCCTTCCCCCTCACTCACATTTTTAGATTACACACATGATTTTTTATAAATCAAATATGCATAGTGTTTCATTAACAAAAATGAGAATTTAGCTTTAATTCCTTTAAAATGCAAGTCTGAATGAATAATATAAATTTAAATCTATGGATAATATACATGATAATAACACAGAACATGTAACACAACAGAATACAATTCATTACCATTATTTTTAACAAATTGTTATTATTTTAAATTTAATATGCACACGCTTATTTTCATTAAGTTTACACAAATGTTTTATTTTTTAAAAACAAACTTTTTAACATACTATTCAATAGCCAGTATCTTTAATATTTTTTTAATATTACCAAAAAACCTATTTATTAATTACATATTAATGCTTACAAACCATTTCTTACCTAAAAAGTATCAAGCCTTTTTTTAACACATTTTATGAGCTGCTAAAATTCAATTAATTACGTGCTTAGAGCTATTCCTAATTGATCATGTTATTTAATTTTTCATTGACTGCATGTTGGCAATAACCATATAAATTCACTGATCTGGGTAGTATTATTTCAGAAAATGCCAAAATGTATTGCACCATTTCGTAAAATGCCGAAATATTGTCTGTTCTGAATAACATTATTTAAGATTTAATAATTCTATTATTAAAAAAATGTAAATTATTTTAACTGAAAAGTAATATCACTACTTTCCTGAGTTGCTATATTTTACTTTTATAACTTACCATGAGATAAATCTTCTTTGAATTTCACATTATTGCTATCAATCACATCAAAAAATGAAGGCCAACCACATTTTGTTTCAAACTTCGCTTCAGATGAAAAGAGATCTTGATTGCACACAATGCAAGAATAAATGCCTTTTTCAAAGTGATTACAATATTTTCCAGTAAATGGTCTAAAAAAATTCAACATTTCAATGAATGGTATGCTTATAAATTTTATTTATACAGAAATCATTTTTACAGAAGAATTTATAGTACAGTCAAAAGTCGTTAATTCGGACACCCATAATCCAGACCTCAAAGCTACAAACTTTCTGCGCATGCGTTGCGTTGACACATGCTCATAGGCGTTTACGTGTGCGCGTAAGACCTTTACGGATGCGAATGTGCGCGTGCGCATAAAATGTTTACGCATGCGCATTTAATGTATAGCGTACGGTATAAGTTAAGCTAAAATTATCTAATTCAGTTAAAGTTGCAGATTGCGTTGTTCCTTAATCTTCGAATTGGATCCGGCTTATTATTTTTTGCAGACTGTTAGAGCAATTTTATAAAAGTAAGCTTGAACTTTCGATTATATCAAATAGAATTTCCAATATACTATATTTGCTAATATGTAAAGGATCTAAAGCGAAAGTATGTTTCGAAATCTGTTTATCAATTTCACGCTGCTCGGGGGGGACGCCGCGGCGCGTAATGAATTAGAAGTTGATCTGTCAGCACTATCCTTATCTTCAAGACAGATGTTTTTATTTTATTTGGCTTATAATTCCTTACTAAATGTAGTATTTCATCTCGATGTACTCCGTCTTTGATATGATTTAAAACAAGTTCCTCGTCATTATAATTCGCTTCCGATAGTCAAGAAAGTGACAGATGTTATTGAAAACGAATTTCGATTGACAAATTAGTCGGTATTCTCGACACAGCAATTATAGGACTTGAACAGCGAAACTTTGCATCTAAACAAGAAATTATGTCTGTTTAATAGAATTAAAGAGAAAGCATTATCACATGAAACAAAACAACTTACATTGAAAGAAATGTTTAATAAAGTAAAATAAATATTAAGCTTTTTCCTTTTGTAAATTTTGATAGCCTTTAGATCATAATTGTTCTTTATTTCATAAATTACGGTTTCATATTTTTAATTTTGTAATTTCTGCATGCCATCTTACCAGATTTAAAATGATGATCTATAATCCGGAAAAATCGATAATCCGGAATCCCCGAAGTCCCAACGAGTCCGGATTAACGACTTTTGACTGTACTTATGCATTACCCTGTCAGTCACAATACTGTTACTATCACAGCAATTTATCTGCACCTCTCACTGCATGCTCAAATAAAAATAACAAGATTTACAGCAGCTTTTAAAACTTAATTATCTTTACAAAATAGGATTAAAATATAGTTAGTTCAGTTTGAGATGCGTGCCAAGCAATAAGGTAGCTACGAAGTCAAATTATTGATCTCATAGATTTGCGCTAATAAATGATTCAAAAATATCAAAAGTACTGCCAATAATTCTTCGACATGAAGATTTTTTTATCTAGTGGCACAGTGAAATTAAGAACCCTTTTACATGCATTATGAAAAAAATTGTAACTGTGCATGCGTGAAGCATTAAGCACTGTATAAATAACACAAGGTGGCACATATTGTATCTACCAACTTAAAATGAATTTGATTAGATTATTCAATTATGGCAAAGCACACAAGCACACGAGGGCTATTTGCCTAAAGGGAGATATGCATTCATGGAGGACACTCGTATACACATTACACATGGGGAAAACCACGAAAACGCCCATGCAGCCAGCCCTTTCACGGGATTCGAACCCCGCACTGAACAACCAGTGTCTTCGTCTTTACCGCTTGGCCACTGGTGGGGCCTCAAATTCAAATTATAGCACGTAAAATTCAAGTACAGTACAAAGTTCGAGATCCGGATGTCCAATATCCGGAATGATCTAAAATTCGGACCTTAAAGCCACCCAACAAAAAAAAATTTTAGGCACTTTTTTTTATGCTTTACGTATGCCCATTTGATATTTTTTCCCCCATAATAAAACATGAGGAGGGTTAATTTCACTTTGGCACTATATAAAATACTTCATTATTGAACAAATAATCATTTTAGTATAAATTTGTATGATCAATAATTTGGCTCCATATCTGGTTGGCAAACCAAACATTTTACACAGAAACATTGTTGATTTTGCCAAACCTGGCAAATCATTATTTATTATATTTTGCTTTCATCACCGCATGTTTGTCAACACAAGATAACTTGGGTAATGACTCATACAACAATGTCTAATTTTTTTTTTTTTAATATTACTAATTTAATAACAAAGAGTAGGGTAACCTTCTATGTTAACATTACACTTGACGATTACAGAATTAAGTTAAATGCGCTAAATGTTGGCAAGGAAAAATTTAACAAAAATTTCTTTCCATATGCTAAAAATAGATGTTGTTAATCATACTCATTGGCAAAAAGATTACATTTAGTGCAATTTGAATTAAGAATAATTGATTTTTTATTCACATAAACCCAGAACCGGCAGCAGAATTTAGGGAAGCCAAATTTTCTTTTAATTTAGAGAAGCACTGAGTAGCAAAATTAAGTCATGTCATAATTTTTAGAATTTAGGAAAAATGCTAGGACCAAAAATTTAGGGGCGACAAAAATTTAGAATTTAGGGAGGCACTCAGTATCAGACTTTAGGACCTGCAAAGACTGCATCAGGTAGTAAAATATCTAGAGCCAGCTCTTAGTATGCTTAAGTACATGCGAGAATTTTTTTCAAAATGACTGGTATATGTCAACTTCAAAATAAACTTGTCTGCATGAAGACAGTACATATTTAAAAAGTTGAGAAAAAAAGCTTTTTAACTTCTGAGCTTAGTTCTTTTCAAAATAACTTCTTCATAGCCATGAGTGTTGTTAACTAATGACTATATTTCCAAATATTATTAAATATTAAATTACATACTTTTACATCTCTTTAATCATTCACAATTCTGCTTTTTCATATTTTTACAGCCAACCGTATATTACAAATGAAATATTACTGCTGGTCCATCCATTACTAAGAACTTTGTGCTTAATTCTTATTGGAAATTTCCATGCCAGTATTTCAACAACCAAATTATACGCAAATATTGAATTGATATAAATAACAAAGCTCAATTTTTAACCAATATTCCATTAATTAATTGAAAATAGACATAAAATTACCATTTGTGCCTAGACTTAAAACAATCATTGAACTCAAAACCTTTAACAGCATTTTACCATCTTTAACCCTTTTGGAATGGGTATGTCATATTCATTGACTGCCAACTGTGTCTTAGAGCCAGGTATGTTATTATATCACTGATTATAGGGAAGTGGCTTAATGTCGCTCATGGTGAAGCTTATCAAGACTGGAGAATGTTGACCTTCATTCTGTACAGGTATTTTTTATTTTTGGTATTTTGATTCCAAATCAAAGTAGAAATCATGGGCTAAATAATGTACAAAAACAGAGCTTCTAATTAATTTTGTCAGCTGATGTTTTCCATGCTTCTCAATACTTTTGTTTTTATTTTTGCCGACATGGGGATGTATGCCCTATCGCTTTACAGGTTTAAAATATATAAAGTTTTCAAAAATTAATTCTGACAACTACCTAAATGTTCCTCTCATTGACAAAAATCGGAACAATGGGAATACAAATTTAATTTATGTGAATTTTATTTCAAAGTTACGCATTTAGCAATACAAATTACCCATCCCAACAAGACAGTGAATCCTGTTAGTTTACCATTACAAGACAGTGGTTTGGTGACTGAGGCACTTGTCGCAAAAGGGTTAAATATTACAATGCATGTTTTGCCTAATACAAGTTGGCTATCACTTATAAATATATATGTCATAAAAACATTTATAATTCAAAACTTAAATTTGAATTATTTTAGAAAATTTCATATCTTGTTATTGTTGCATTTAGTATATAATAAAAAAAGGAATATTTTAGAGTTTTAATATTTAGTTTAAAACCAAGTTTACAATCAAAAAAATTATATATTTAAGATTTAAAAAAAAAAATTATTAACAAACTACTAACTTAACTGGCAATACCCTTTTCAATTTTCGATTTTATTTGCCTGCATTCACCTACAAAGAATCTGTAATGTGTCGCTTTTGTCTGCAGCAATCTACAATGCTGTAAGCTCTTGCACAATTGCTATTCAGGTTTCAAACCATTTCCAGTTTATTTGTAGGTCCTACTAAAGTATGCACTCACTTTTCTCCACTGGGCTTAGTGGTCATAAGCATGTAGTTAACCATTTGGTAGCTTCATAGATTGTAACAATATGAATTTAACAAATATTCTATTCTATAAATTAGAAATATAACTAAGAAATTTTAATTGTAAAAATAAAAAATTAAATTATTAATTTTTTGGAATATATATTTTTTCTTGGTTTTAGATACATGCATTTAATTTACATATGCTCTTAGAATTTAAATGATAAATTAGTTTAACAGCAATAATTAATTTTATTTTTTATTTTTTCAATTAAAATTTCTTTCTTACATTTTAAATTTATACTAGCTTTATAGAATAGAATATTTGTTAAATTCAAATTTCATTCTTTACAGCAATGCGCAAGAGAATTATTCAAATTTAATTTAATATATTCTAGTAAACAATTTTTTAACAATATGATATGCATATACAAAACTGTGGGGGCACTTATCACACCCCTAGTGTTGCACCAATCAAGTCAGTATGTTCTATGAAATTCATCACCCAGAAATAAAATCGCATTTTAATTATCAAACTATTTGCACTTTTACAAAATTCCAGTCACCTACGAAACAGTTTCAAGCTATCTTCTATCACACATCCTACTCGTGTGACAGCTATATCTCTTTATGTTAATCGGTTTTATCTTCTGCCAAAATTCTTAACATTTATACATAAAGTAAAAATATAAATAATTAAAGGAACACAAAGCTCCCCACAGATATACTTACTGTAATAACTTCCCTAAACAACTACACATTTAGTTAATAACATGTTACAGATATCCATATAGACAGATAACATAACACCAACCTTTCAGTATCCTTTTCTTGTGTCACAGAATATTGCTGTGGAGTTAATCTCTGCTTCAATTCTTCTTTTGAAAAATCTATGCCACAACCATTTCCACAGCATTCCATTTTTGAAAATCTACCTGGCATTACAAAAATGTAAGCATTTAAAAAATAAATTAACATGGAATATATATCCAGGTTACAATAAAATGAAAGGAAAGTACTAAAAAATAAGAATGAATTTACTAAAAACTGTTCCATATTCCAAACAAAATTTACTGCATTCAAAATTAAGAGTGTCATACATTGTCAACATGACCACCAACATAAAAACATATACATTTCTGCTTAAACAAAAAAGTAAGTCATTATATCTAACTGACTTAGAAAACTATTACAGATGTTTACTGTATTATAACTCTTATTAGATATCTATCTAAATTTCAGAAATTTAAGATGTGCAGCTTCCCAACCTACTTTTTGGATAATCACTGCTTTCTTAAAGCATTTTTCATTCAATTTTGTAATAGGTTATTTGAATATGGCAAAGTCACAAGGGCTATCTGCCTAAGAGGAGGGCTGCCTTCTTGGAGGACTTTCTTAAGGAAACTGGCTCATATTCACATTACAAACGGGGTAAACCAACCATGTAACTAGCCCATTAGCTTGGGATTCACCTATAACTACCCGTTTTCAGCTGTATTAACCACTCGACTATATGTAGAAGTTGGCAGAACACCAGAATTTCCCCTTCGGTTATACATGTATAGTCCTGCCGCACTAACTGTACAGTTCTGCCTTAACTTCGAGGCAGAATGCCCCAGGGAAAAGAGCGAGCCAAGGTTTCCCATCCTTCTTCCTGTATCACCAACCTGATAAGAGGACTTTCGGCTTGCCGTGTATTTTGAGTGCCCTTTTGCTGCACAGACACTATACTCTTACAAAGATTAATGCTTTCTCCTGGATTCAAACCTGGGCACATCAATACAGCAGTCAGAGTCACCATTCACTTATACCAACAAGGCAATAATAAGGATATACAATGAAAACTTTCATGGCAACCAGCTAAGATGACAACTATTTCTAAGAATGGAAATAGCATCAATACCATAGTCACACAGAACAAGCACCTCTATAAAAGATCAAAATCAGCTGGAATCAGTCTTCTTGGTTGTACCGAAGAGATTTTACTATATTAGATAGCTTTTGACCGTGATCTGAGGGCACTGACTTTATGTTTTTATTTATTGCATTTGAGTTGCATCCTATTATTAATTAAACTTGCCCTAAAATTGCAAAACAGACTAAAATTGGTGAAATATGTTCACAAATGTTTATCTATCTACCTGGAAATTCCTCCCAAAGCACACAAGGTAACTTGAAAGAGAACATTACTTCTACATAATTGGGTATTTTTCCATTTATGTACATGCCATGCCTTTTGGCCTCTGTGATAATGAATTGAACACATGCCAAAGCCCAATGATAGCATCATCTGGGAACTATGTGTGCCTGTGTGTGTTTATGTAACTCGAATAATTAAATACACATACTATTACAATGTGTGGCAGGTGCATAACAAAAAAATACCTATAATTGATATCTCTACATGTACAGACCTGGGATTTTATTCTGAGAATATTAAACTCATAGGCTATTACATTTTATTACTTACCATGAAGAAAGGAGAAGGAAGAATGAACTTTACACATATGTAACATACACTAACATGTGAAGGTCAACAGACATAATTTGATGACTCTTGTAAAGATTGTCTGAAATGTTTTTTATAATCCAGTGAAATTTTAATTATTTTTTAAAACACATTTATTTATTTTAATTTTTAGTCTGCTGTTGCTCTTCCCCTAATCCACAATATCCTTTTTCTGCTCCTAAGATCCACAATGGCCCTAAATCTTCTTAATGGGATATTAATGATTATGAATAGTAAGGTTCATTTACTAATTATGAGCTTCATAAAGCAGTTTTCATATTGCATATGGTCAGAAGTGAATAGGAAAGAAATATGCTTAAAAATGAGAGCATAAATATACAGTATGTGTTACGCAGTGACCGATACCTCAGGAAGAAAAAAAAAAAAAAAAAAAAAATTCCTTGAAGAATGCTGCTTCAGAATAAATGTAACCATAAAATCAGATTGAAAACTATAAATAGTAAATTAACGAATTGTTACGAATGGCTTTATGAAACTAACTGGTAGCTCACGACCTTAGAAATCTTAATTATATAATTTGAAATTGCAACAAGATAACAGTAATATTCATGTTTCCATTCATATACAGGTTAATATCAGCACAATGCTAGGAATTTTCATTGTGTCAAATTAAGAAAAACTCACGTTTGAAATCAGAAGATAGCCAAATAGTCTCAATGTTGTACTTCTGAACCACAGCTGATATTGAGCATACAGAAAAGAGACGACCAGCAAAGTGATGAAAAGGCTTCACGTTCTTCAAAACCAACTTAATTGTAAAATTAGAGAATGCTGATCGATAAATGTGTATAAACTGCATGAGACTATAGGCAGAAGAGAAAATTTAAATGTAATAGATAGTTGATATCAAATTTATAATTAAAAAACATGAATAAGACATTACAATTAAAAGTTCAAAGCAAATTCTAATATTTTTTAATACTAGCAAAGGATATATTACTTGAAATTTAAAATTAACAACATGGAAACGGATTTATTGCACCTTTAGTAATATTTTGGTGCAGAAAAATAATTTGTCAATAATAAAACTAGTATAAGGTCAATAAACATTGTTTGGTATATTCCCATTAGAAATGCCACCTCAGATACAGATAAAAGCCACTAACATTGTTGTTGAAGGATGTGCAGCTGCCAGTCGAAACAAAATAAGTCATCAAATGTATTTTTTGCACTCTCAAAGGCTAGGTAATGATTACCAGAAGAAACATTTGTACAGCATTTTGATATCTTTCTGAGATGGTGCTCCTAACAGAAAAGTATCCGTCATTCTAATTTTCACTTTTTTTGGTCAGGGTACAAACTAGTAATAATGAAGAAATTAAAAGGAGGATAGTTCTTATTTAACTGACATAAAAATTAATATAAAAGCATTCACACACACTCACACACACACACACACACAAAAAAAAAAAAAAAAAAAAAAAAAAAAGGACTGCAGTTAATTTAATTAAAAAGATTTTTTACAGTGCTGCATTAATGAATTACTTCTGCTCTCCTGTAATCTAGAATTATTTCCTATAAATTATAAACTACAAGAATATCACTAATGACATAAAAATATTATATATACCTATCCTGTCAATATGATGCATCTTTATAAATGGCTTTTAAAATACAATTATAAAAACTGAAAAGCACTGAACCAAAATTAAACATAAATAAAATATAACATATCTCTGCCAAAATAGAATATGTTCTTTGAATTTAAGATCACCGTTTTCCTATAAATGTATTAAATACAAGGAGTGCCTCAAGCTGATAACATCTTAGAATTTCAAATTATTATTTTGAATTTCAAAATTCATCTTAGAATTTCAAATTCATCTCAGAATTTTAAATAATATTCCATACTAATGCATTTTTCCAAATTAATTTATATAAGAATACTATAATTGTTAATAAATCAAAATCAATCATTAAAAAATAATTACTAGTTATATTTAAATATTTGATTTCATTTTTTCCCCCGAGTAAGACTGAAATTAAGCAGCGAATCTTAAAACTAATGAAACATAATAATGTCACATTTAGTTAAACTTCAGAGGCACATATTATTTTATTTTTATTTATTAAATTAAAAAAGAAATAAAAACTCAGACTAAAAAGGGAAAATTTTAAAATCTTTTACAAACTAAACCTACTTAAAACAGTACTTATAAAATCCGTTCTCATTTATTTAATAAATGATTACAGATTTTATAAAATCCTCTTTTCACACTTCACATTAAGTGTTTTTTAATTTATCAAAAATATTATAAAATATATAATACACGAATATACTAAAAGCTTTTTATTTTGACTGATTTTTCACAAGCTTACAAAAATTATCATTAATGAATCTCTCTTTTCATGTGACAGTATCTCATGCATATACTTAACTGAAGAAACACATTTAATGACGAAACTGTTTTAAAGATAATAGCAAATAATTACGATGCTCTATATAAAACTTTAAATTCACTTCATTTATATAAAGTATTAAGAAAACATAAAAGAAATTAGAAGTTTTTAAAGTTCCTTCAAATATACGCATTAAAATTACCTAAAGAATGTAAGATAAAACAGATAATGCAACAAAAGATGAAATTATCAAAGAAAAACATAACAAACACAACATACACCCACGCTCTAAATTTTAAAACATTAGAATCTCGGAAGATTTGAAGGGCAATTGCGACGCAAATACCACGTCAGTTTCTTATTCATTCATGTATAACGACTTTCCTAAACAAAAAATGTATATATGTTATGGATTTAGAATAATGGTTAATAATAAATCGCTACATACCTTAAACGTACAAAACCTATTAATACCACAAAAAGAATGTTGTTTAATTTTTTTTAATATGCCGACGTTGCCAAAATACAAACCACCTTAGGCAAAATTATATGAATGTTTTGACATGGAGCCAGATTCAGAGTCGCATTCTGATGTGTATGATTTTAGATTTATATAAATAAGTAACTCTAAAGTTTCATATTGAAAATGTTGCTATTAATTTATATTTAATATTTTAGTTAATGAATTATTGAACTTTTTGAATAATGGCATATTTGATACGAAATAATAAAATATTAACTAACTGTTTTTCTTTAATGATAAGATGTGAAGTGAAATGTCATGCAAAGGAAAAAAATAATAAGGCATGGTCAGGCGATGTAAACATGTTTTCGCCTTTAATTATTACAAAACCTTGTGTAATTAGGCAGTTATTTATTGTTGAAGTTAAACACATTCGTTTCAGGTCTTCATCTGAGGAAAGCATTAGTGCAAAAAATGCGCGCAAATTACGCATACATAAGCTTGCCGAAGTATTAGAATGCACAGATCTTACGGCTGGGGAGATAGTTGCAAGAAACAGAAATATTTTGCAGTTAAAATCAGAACACTTTATTCGCAATGCTAAATTTTGTAGTGAACACTTAAAGCTTAGTGATTTAGTTGAATTTCCTATTATTCTTTCTTTGAACTCCAGTCTATTACAACATCGGTACTTTTCACTTAAGGAATTAGGTTGCTCTAATGTTACTGCTAGTAATATTTTAAAGTAAGTAACGTTTTGATAATTTTAATTATCTATTAAATATTATATATGAACCACCTTAGGCAAACCACTTTAATGTTTGCGTTATAAATTTGTTGGTGACGTTTATAATAGATAATTTAAAGGTAAAAGTTTTTGGATATTTTATTTATATTATACATGCAAATGTTCATCCTTGGAAAGGGTATATACTTTTTCGCGATCAGGTAATTTCATATATGTGCTTTTTACGGAGTTTAAAGATTCACAAAATTTTCCTGCATTTTCGTGCAAATTTTTTTAATTTATGAGAAAATAGCAGTGTAGATGGATAAAGTTAAGAGTGAGTGCAATGCCATTTTTGTGCAATTCTGGGATTTTTTTTAAGTAAAAATAAGTCGACGTGTACATGGTTACTGTGTATGTGCGATTCTGAAAAACGCGGCAAGGAGTTTTCGATTCTGCACTTTTTCCTAATTTTGCAGTTAATATTTGTCATGATTAATCAGTTTTGTTCCATAAAATTTCTAGCATAAGTGTAATTCGGATTGTTGGAAAAAGTGTTGAGTAAATAAAAAGAAAATAAACATGTCTTTATTTCGTGAAGACAAAATGGCGGCGAAAAAAAGAATAGAGGGTTGCTGTAGCAGAGTTGGGCGCTAAAAAATCGCCAAGTTACCATAATCCAAAGATTAACCCAGTTTCCCTTAGAAAGTCCTCCACGAAGGTGTCCTTCCTCTTCGGCAGATAGCCCTCGATGTTTTGCCGTAATTACATAAGCCAAACCGGAACCAACAGATACAAATTACGGATACAACACATAAACAAATTAGAATAGAATTTCAGTGTTTGAGATTATCTGACAATCAAATTGATTAAAAATTTATTCTAATCATTCCAGTGGCCAAAATTTCCTAGTGGCATTTAAAATAGTAACAAATTAGTCGTCATCTTTATGGATTAGGCACAATATAAATTCCCTTAAATATGAATCTTAAGTGGCTTTTTACTGCACTATTTTGCCAAAACTCAATCTTTCAAAGTTTTCATCGTGTACACTAATTATAACCAATGTTGTAATTTTTAAAACATTCAAATATTCCACTGCTTGCTTTTCTGTAGGAGGCATGTCAAATTTTAATTATTTGTTTCAAAATGCAAGAGAAAATCAATTAAATTGCATACTTCTGTACAAAAACTTATTTGCGTCTGGAAGATCATAGTTTCTCTTTCTCTTTTTTTATAACTAAAGTATTAATGTGGTTGTTGAAATTAATGTTTGAAAATCACCACAAATTAAAAAAATATATGTATATTATATCTTTATGTATTGAAATTAACATTTTGCTTTTATTACTGTGGAATTATTTTTCAATTCCTGGATATCTTTTTTTTCTGGTGGTGGGCATCTGAACTTCAGTACGTATTGATGAGAGGATTGAATAAAATTAAATGAACTGAGGATTGAAATTAATATGCATTTTTTTGTTTAATTTGCTTAGATTATAAACCAGCATTAGCATAACATCTGAAGGCTGAGTAATTAATTGACATGTATGGCAATATTTGGCTGAGCCACTATTGCCATATATGGCAATATTGATGATTGAGCAATTATTTGACATATACGACATTAATTGGCATATGTTTGAATGCATCGATGTTTCTGTTTTACATAGTAGCTAGCTTTTCTAAAAGCATTTTGTACAGATTTCTCATTTGAAAGCAGATTGAGTATCCATTTTCAGTTTGTAGGAGAGTTTTCGTTACAAGATTTGAAAGGAAGGGCAGTTTATTTTAATATTTTTAGTTATATTGATGTGGTCTTGAAAAAAGGCTTATTAGCTTGTTTCCTTAAGTATTAATTCTAGATGCAATATGCATTTAATTAAAAAATTTCTCAAAAAAGGTATCTAATGTCATGAAAACACCTTTTGCCTAGTGAGTGGGAGAGATTTTGTTGGTAATAAAATATAATTTTTCATACTTTAATTATTTAAATATAAAGTTCCTTCCTGTAAGTGTAAAATTTGAGAAGTTAAAGTATTATGATTTACTCAAATGGACGTTTTACTGACTTAGATTGCAGAATTCCTTGGTTTTGAAGGGAGTCCTTCATTTTTTTTATCTCTTTTGGGCAAAATAAAATACAGGTTGTTTCATATTGAATAGATAAAAATAATAGATTAGTTCAAATTCTGTAACTGATTTATTTAATCGAAACAAACTAATTTTGAAACTACAATTATGCAAGTTTTTATCAGGCAACAGTGAAATGAAATCTATGCTAGAGACACTATAAATCAAAATGTCATTATCCATGTAGGAGAAAGCATACTGTGTTTTGGAATATGCCAAAACATATTAGGTTATCGTCATTCATTCATGCCAAAACATACAGGTTATCATCATTCATTTCTGCCACAACATACAGGTTATCATCTTTCATTCATAAGACATTTTCACATGAAATCTGTAAAGAACCACAGCATCAAATGATAGGTGAAGCAGTTTCAGGACATGGGTTCCTTGTGTAAGAAAACCAACCTAGGATGAACAGTAGCCAAAGCCGAAGTGGTTGAAAAAATTTATGAAACGTCTTGCTAAAGTCCCACAAAATCGTGCAAATTCTGAACTCAGTATGCCTTGTATAACTGTGTGGCATGTGTTATGGAAATGTCAACAAATCTGGCCATACACCTTTCAGTCATTTAAACCTTCTTAACAAACTGTTGCAGCTTTCTGTGAGAATTTGAAAAATAAACTTGAGGTAGATGGTTTCATAAACAGTTTTGTATTTACGGATGAAGCCACTTATCATAATTTATGATTTTGGGACATGGGAAATCCACATTACCACGATTCTCCGAAGGTGAATGTCTTCTGTGCCATTTCCAACATTTGTGGTTGGGGTCCTTTTTTCTTCATGGAAAAATTGATTAACGGTCACATTTATCAAGCTATGCTATCAGAACGGTTGTCCCCTCATTTGGAGGAAGCAGTTCCCGACTTCATTCTGCAGCAAGACAGTGCTTCAACATTCTTCATTGGCATAAAAAATATGCAAGTATCTGAACGATAGTCTACCCCATCACTATATTGGTTGTACTGAGTCATACGATATGCTGTTGCTTTGTTCCCTACCGAGATCCCTAGATCAACCTCTTGTAAGGTTTTTCAATGGTGTTTTGTTAAAGATAAAGTCCCTCCATTTCCCCAGAACTTACAGCAACTGAAGCAGTGAATAAGTGAAGTGCTCGACTCATTAACAAAGGATATTTTATCATGACCGTGGCTGGAACTGGAATACAGCATAGATATTTGCTGTGTCACTGGAGGGGCACACATAGAACATCTATAGAAACTACAGTAAATTGGATTAATCAAAATAAAGTAATTACAGCATTCACATGTATACTCTCTTTTTGTCCCATTCAAAATGAAACAGCCTGTATGCATGTAAAATCACTTAGGTACCAAGCTGGTTGACATGCAGATATTTTATCAGAACAGTAGAAACATTTCCTCCCTTTTCATGAGTTTTTATCAGGAATGAGATAGGACACTAAAGAGCCTCCTAATGCTTCTTTCCATACGTGTCGGCATACTTTTCATACATCTATTTATGCCACTGGCAGTAGTCCCAAACTGTCTCATACTCTGACAAAGAAAAGCAGTTAAGTATTAATGCATTGTAGACCAGAAGAAATGACACTAGTTGTTACTAGACGCTAGTGCAACAGGGAATTGCCTACAGTCAAGTTGTAATGGCCTTGATGACAACAGTTTCAATTTCAAGAATTTAAAATACTGTTTCAGAAGAAATTACTCAGATTCTTGTTAATTTTTAATTATGTTTGTAATATAGTGGTTCTGCTATACTGTCATTCACCTTTCATTTCTCCCACAAAGTCATAGTGTAATTTTTGATAGGTATTATGCAGATGCAAAATCTAATTTGGAAAAAAAAAAACTAATGCAAAATATCTTCCCTTTCAAGTTTATAGCTTTCTGAAACTGCAGGTGTTGAGCATCATCAAGCAACATAGGAGAAAATGTCATAAGCTACCAAAATTTTGCTAGCATCAGTATACAGTATTTTGACAAAAACTTTGTCTGAAAGTTTGTGTCGGATCCTTCACTGCTTGATGCATCATTATTGAAACAAAAGTTTGGTGATGAAGATGAAAGATTTCTAAAATCACTATTATCAAAACATAGATCAGAAATTTTAAATAAAATTTGAAATCATTGCTAATCTAGGTTAGAAGGCCATCCATCTCCCTACCCCAAAGATTAACAATATAATAATACAATAACTGAAGTAAATAATGATCTCTGCCTAGGGTTAGCCAGTAATCATCATGAAAGAGTTATTATGTAGAAAAAATGTGAATACAGCATGCTATTTTGAGTGGTTGTTGAAGTTATCAGAAAAATATACTAAAGGAACTGATTTACTGAGATATAGGTAATATATTTTAAATGCTTATACACATCTATGTGTGGGAAGGTTTTGACAGTTATACTGATCAAGTACAGGTGGAAAGTTCTGTGTAATCCTTTATAAATCTTGTTCATGTATCCAACCAATTGTAAATTCTTTTGCATATTAAAACAACTGCTACATAAATAGTATTTTTTATCTCTGATAGAGATTTTCTCAGTGGTTACCAAGCCATATAAGAACTGAATAATATTAGTACGGTACAAAAAACAGCAAATCTTCCGAGACACTGAATCACAACTAATCACTCAAAACATCTGTAAAGAAAACTGTCCTTAAAGAAGTAAAATTGAGAAAAGAAAACAAAGTAAATTATTTTTTAAATAACTTTTGAATTCATTTTGAATGAAATCGATAACATAATTCAGTTTTTTAAATCAAAAACTGCTGAACTGGTTATACATATGTTGAAGTATAAACTAAAACAAGCAACATCAGTTGTTCTCCTTGTTGATTATAATTGATCCTTTCTTCATTTCTAAGAAAAAAAATCCAATCCTTGTTCAAAATCAAAAGC